GGTTTGAGTTATTGTAACGCAAGCAAACAATTTAACCACTATCTTGACAAATATGCGTATAACTCAAACCTAAATCCACCTTGGCCGAGATTACTGTACAATACTTTGTTTTCGCTTGTAATTAATTTTCGCTGAAGGAATGATTCGTGATAAAATCCAGTGAATATACCTTTTTTCCTATATTTTACATACAAAACACCCAAAAAAGTTTTTGCAGCAAAAATTAATTCCAGCTAAAATAAAGTATAAATGAAATTGGATAAAAAGATATTGCAACCAAAAAATAACATTTTACGAGTCACCAATGACAGAAATTTTCCCTTCACATACCTTGATCTATGATATGTTGCAAGTAAAAATGCATCAAAACCATGCATCATTATTGCCTTTTGTACATACATTGATCATATATATAAACGGAACCATGTTTTTTCAGATCGAATTCAAAATGGCCAATGCAAATGCTGTTCTAGATTCATGTCTCTGAAATACATTGACTGATTGCAATGAAACTTTACAACTACATTATACATCATGTTTCACTTATTTCAATTTTGTTTACTATTAAACCAACAGTAACTTTCTGGGATTAATAACAGCCACACACTTACAGACAAAATTATTTGATAAAAATTTATATTTATTATAATTTATTAAAAACGATTATTACATTGTGAATCATGTCATGGTTTTCTGTAGATGTCAAATGGAAGACAAAGGTAAGTAGATCATCACTGGGTAACTGACATTGTTATTATAAAAATTATTTCCCTTCAAAACATATTTTTCATACCGCAAATAGTTCAGTGAGTTGTAGTGCTAAGATTCATCCTTCCTCCCTCCCTCAAAGTGACTTTCAGTGCTATGGTCCATCCCCCTCCCTTACTTTGAATGACTTGCATTGCTATGGTTCATTCATGTTAAAACCATAGCAGTTATACAAGCCTTTATGTTAAAACCATAGCAGTTATACAAGACTTCATGTTAAATCCATAGCAGTTATACAAGCCTTCATGTTAAAACCATAGCAGTTATACAAGTCTTCATGTTAAAAGCATAGCAGTTATACAAGCCTTCATGTTAAAAGCATAGCAGTTATACAAGACTTTATGGTCAAACCATAGCAGTTATACAAGCCTTCATGTTAAAAGCATAGCAGTTATACAAGCCTTCATGTTAAAAGCATAGCAGTTATACAAGACTTTATGGTAAAACCATAGCAGTTATACAAGCCTTCATGGTAAAACCATAGCAGTTAAACAAGCCTTCATGTTAAAAGCATAGCAGTTATACAAGACTTTATGGTAAAACCATAGCAGTTATACAAGCCTTCATGGTAAAACCATAGCAGTTATACAAGCCTTCATGTTAAAAGCATAGCAGTTATACAAGACTTTATGGTAAAACCATAGAAGTTATACAAGCCTTCATGTTAAAAGCATAGCAGTTATACAAGCCTTCATGTTAAATGCATAGCAGTTATACAAGACTTTATGGTAAAACCATAGCAGTTATACAAGCCTTCATGTTAAAAGCATAGCAGTTATACAAGACTTTATGGTAAAACTATAGCAGTTATACAAGCCTTCATGGTAAAACCATAGTGGTTATACAAGCATTCATATTAAAACTATAGCAGTTATACAAGCCTTCATGTTAAAAGCATAGCAGTTATACAAGACTTTATGGTAAAACCATAGCAGTTACACAAGCCTTCATGTTAAGACCATAGCAGTTATACAAGCCTTCATGTTAAAAGCATAGCAGTTATACAAGCCTTCATGTTAAAACCATAGCAGTTATACAAGCCTTCATGGTAAAACCATAGCGGTTATACAAGCCTTCATGGTAAAACCATAGCAGTTATACAAGCCTTCATGTTAAAAGCATAGCAGTTATACAAGACTTTTTGGTAAAACCATAGCAGTTATACAAGCCTTCATGTTAAAAGCATAGCAGTTATACAAGCCTTCATGTTAAAAGCATAGCAATTATACAAGACTTTATGGTAAAACCATAGCAGTTATACAAGCCTTCATGGTAAAACCATAGCAGTTATACAAGCCTTCATGGTAAAACCATAGTGGTTATACAAGCCTTCATTTTGAAATCGTAGCAGCTATACAAGCCTTCATGTTAAAACCATAGAAGTTCAGGTGTTCACTTTAATTTTAACAGTTCTTTGACAATTATAGAATTAGCATTTTAACAGGTTTAACAATTTCTGGTGAATAATTTGCAAATTTTAAAAGATTACAAGTGAAACATTTTTATCAAAAACTGGAATGCAATTATTGCCAGCATAAGAAGTTACAAATATCAATAACAACACAAACACAAATAATCAAGCCTGTCAAATATATGTAGTACTGGCAAAAAAATGCTAAATTTGGTATAAAATTCATTTCATGTACCAAGGCACTTATTTTTACAATATCTTTGTACAAAATTAACATAATAAACTATTTGATTGAAACCAGTATGAACTGGATTATACCAGTTTGCATCACTGACATTAAAACCGGTATGAACTGAAATACAGTGTACCATAGTTGCTCTATTAGTAGTGCATGCACTTTTGTAAATTACAGAGGTTTGTCTATGGTCATAATAAGTAATATTTTTTAATAATTCAGTTCACAACAAATGTGATTTTAGGATTATATGCGCTTCTATTAGAGATACAGTTTATCGGAATACACCACTGACATTGAAACCAGTAAGTTGTTGAGTCAACATTTGAAAATGTGGGCTAAAACTATTAAAAACATTCATATTCTTCAATTGAATTGATATCTTACATAACTGTATGATTATTTAAAAAGCTATGGTGTTTTAGAAAGTGAATTATATTTTACAGAATATTTTTAAAAAAAAGGTTTCAAATACAAACCATCACCATAGAGGTAAAGTAAAATGAAGGGATATATATATAACAGGTTTGAGATTATTAATGTACCATGCCAACATATTTACTAATTAAGCTATTTGCATATTCCTGCTGTTCTGATGTGAGTGAGATATCCCTGAACTTGTCTAACAAAAGACTTCCAGAATCACCCGTTTCAATTCCCAAACCGGTAACCGTTGGCAGTGGAACAGAGGGGGTATCCAGCAAATTGGAAGAGCCATATTTGTATCCAACAAAATTGGTCCCAGTTTCTGCCTTAATGGTTTTCTGATTTGAGGTGTGCCCTGGTTTGTCAGTAGTATACCGGTCTGCAGCAGGTTCAGAGCTGTTGAATTTCTGATTTGACATCTGCACTGATTCACCATAAGTATACTGGTTTTTAGCAGCATTGGAGCTGTTGGATTTCTTTGGTGATTCTTCTAATTCACTCAGAGTCAGTGGACCATTAGTGGACACATCTGAGCCTGCCACTGCTGGTCTATTAGAAGACGTTGCCTTGGTGACGGTTGGTCTTGTTGATGAGTCATGTATGTTCTCAGATGAAAGGGTTTTATGAGATTCTCTGGATGCTGGTCTACTGTACTTTTTCAAATAGATCGAATTGCTGTCATTCTTTCTTTCTAAGGCACTTGCAGACTCCTTCTTTGGAAATAAATCAAATTTTGTGGAATAATCTGCATATCCAGGGGTTATTGGCATGCCAGTGTTTTCTGGGAGCTTGCCAAAGGTGACTTTGTCAGCTGATTTCTCTGGTCTTTGCTCTGAAGGCAAATGTCCATTTGCAAGGTACCTATTGCTGAAAGACATCCTAGGTGCAGGCATAGTTGTTGTCATGGATACAGCGGTTGAATGTAGGTGTTTGCCATCATATTGCGCTCCTGACAGTGTGTGTTTGGTTCGTGTAGGTAGTTGTTGGTAACCTGCAGCAGTCTTAATTGGAGCTGTTGATGATGTCTGAAAATGTTTACCTTGAGTATAACGATCATAGTTAGGTTTTGTTACTAGGCTTGTCAGCCTTGGATTTGGTAGTTCTTCATAACTACCTTTTAAACTGTCGTCATCATCTGGTGAAGGCACTTCCTTTGGGAACAGTTCATATTTCCTTTCATGAACTTCATCTTGTACTTCTGTTGTGACCATTGGCAATAAAAAAGGCTCTTTCTCATACCAGAGTTGTGAGGAGGTTTTCTCAGAAATGGTTGTCTTAGTAACAGCCTTTGGCCCTGAAACTGAATGACTATCATGTTTGCCACTATAAGAGGAGGTCAACAGCTCTGTGTCATAATGTGGTTTTGATGTAGCTGTAGCAGAGAATGGGTTCCTTTCAAACTTCCAGTCAAAAATAGGTTTCTTTGGGGGAGCAGTTGAAACTTGCTTTGTATTTGTTGTGTTTGAGGAAGCAGGGATTGTTGAAGTCTGTGGTTTGGATTGTGATGAAGAATAGGTTCTATAATCCTTACTTGCATGTTGTCTTGTTGAAGTGTATGTTGCCGTAGTTACAGGGAAAAGTACCGTTGTTGTTGTTGAAGAGGGTAGTGAGATGTTTGTGTTTGGTAATTTTCCATAAATTACCTCCAGATCACTTTGAGACAAAAAACTCAAATCATCAAATTTTGATTTTGTTCTTGAAGCTTCAGGTGTTGGAAGTTTACCATAGTGAATCTTTTTCTCACTTGAGAAGCTGGTTTCTTTTTCAGTTCTTGATGTCAGATCGAGTTCTTTCTGTGCCTCTTCTCTCAACCATTGTTCTATTTCACGTTTTCGAGCAGTATCTTTGGTTTCATTATCAAACTCATTTATGAAATCTTCTGCTCGGAAGCTTCTTTCAGACAGACCATCAGAATCAGAATCATCATTTTCATTAGCATTAACAGCTAAAAGTGGAATGTTATAAATTTCTTGTCCATGAATGTCATCTCTAGTTGGACTTCTATCACGTTGAGGAGTTTTTTCTCTCTCTCTACTTCTTTCCCGGCTTCTACTCTGATCTTTTCTCCCTGGACTTCTCTCTCGGCTTTGGTCTTTTCTAGCTGGACTTTTTTCTCGGCTTTGGTCTTTTCTAGCTGGACTTCTTTCTCGGCTTTGGTCTTTTCTAGCTGGACTTCTTTCTCGACCTTTTTCCTGCCTAGCTGAGTTATCTTCTACATGCCTACCATGTTCCTGTCTAGCTGGGCTCCTGTCTTGTCTACCCAGTTCCTGTCTTGATGGGCTTCTCTCATGTCTGCCTTGTTCTAGCCTTGCTGGGCTCCTGTCCTGGGTCATTCTCCTGTTTTTTGGTGAAGGAGATACATCCTGCTTTGACATCATCTTGATATCTCTTCCTAGTGGTGGTTTTTCAGCACCTGGGG